GGGGGGGGGTCTTTATTTTGTGAATCTCCTTCAGTGCATCAAGTGACTATGTGTACTTGGAAAGAGCCTATTGCCACCATTTATTTTGCTCTCCAAAATTGCTACCTAATCACTCACTTAGTATTTAAACTCCCAGAAATTTTCATGAGATGACAGGCACAAATTCCAGAAGCCCTTGCCTGCAGTTGATCTGCTACCCTAAAGATAGATGGCTCAGTGCCCCTTATCTTGTCTGTCTATGGATCTCTTCTCATTTTTTGTAACACAACCATCAAAATAATAGCAAATCACTCTGCGCCAGACACTGAGGGCCTTCTGCCTGCATTAACTCATTTAATCTGTTGGCTCTTCTATTGAAAAGGTACTAATGTCGTCTTCCGCTTACAGACTAAAAAACTAAGCCCTAGAGGGTTGAAGGAACTTGTGCAGAAGTAAACTCCAAGCCTGACTGTTGCCACAGCAAACCAAGAACAAGGCCTCAGGAGAGAGGAGCTAACGGAAAAAAGCAAAACAACTAAAGGCTGGAGATACTTTTCCTTCCCCTCCTCCTTTCTCTCCTCCCAGCTGACATTCATTGAACATTGAACGTATATGAACATTAAACATGTATCAGGCATGGTGCTCAAAGCTTTACATTTTATTTCATTCCCACAACCACCAAATGAAGCAGGTATTTTTATTACTATATTTACAATAGGGAAACTGAGACTTAAAGAAGTTGCATACCTTCCCCAAGGATACACACCTGGTAAGATGCAGAGCCAGGATCATTTTGGTAGCACATGAATTCCTGCCATATTTTGCTAATTTAGCCCTTGGTATTACCAAGGACCAAAGGCATAGTCTTCACAATTCCACACATTTCTGGGAGATGGAGGCTTGAACTGTTTTTATGTTATCAGTCACTGGGTAACTGTACAGTTTCAGGAAAGTTACTTGAGCCACTTACACTGAGAGGTACCCATCTGTTAACTGGGGGTTCTAATGGCCTTGCTCAGAGATGTGTTGGGGTGATGATGGTCTCTGTTCTTGAAGAGTTCTCCATAAATACCAAGAGCACATTCTCACATGTTTTTTACTGTCTCTGTTCTGTGCCAGGCATTGCTCTAAGCACTTGGCATACATTAATTCATTTAATCTTCACAATACGTACAATTCCCATGGTACAGATAAGGAAATTGAGGCACAGGGACGTTAAGTCAGTTGCCCCAGTTTTCCTAAAGAGTAAATGGCAGAGCTGAAATCCAGAATCAGACAGTCTGGCTTAGGAGACTGCTTCTACCCACTATGCTGTGACATCCCCTGAAGGCCAAAGAAATGCTAAGGAGACAGAGATGGATGTGCGTTTGTCCTGTATGAAGATTCTGCACCCACTAGCGTGCCTCCTCTTCAGTAGCTATTCCGTAAGTCCTTGAGTTAAGCAGGCTGCAGATAGAAGCTGCCCCCATGTCTGTTCTGATCATTTCCTGACAGAAGCAAGCTGAACTCTTACAGAGCCTGGAAAAGCAGCAGTGACATTTCTAACAGTCCCTTGAGCACACCCAGGTGACAAAACTGTGAGCAATTAAAAAGAAATGAAGCACTCACTTACCTACTGCACCAGTCAGGAAGCCGGTGATGAGGAAGCCTAGGAAGCAGTGTTTAGGCGCCATGGCTGCGAGTGTGGCCGCCAGGCAGCCCGCGTTCCCCTGAATGAGAGCAGGGCTCTGAGCAGAAGAGGAAACTAGAATCCTCGTGCCGAGCATTCTCTCCTGAGCTCAACGTTCCTCGAAGCGAACGCAGATTTCATTTGTGAATGCATTTTGCTCTTAGGGAAATTATGAAAGTAAAGACTTGCTTCAAAAAACATTTGCTGTAAGTCACTTTGACGTGGAAGCTCGATTTTGCAGGGATTTGGGCTTCATTTGCTGTAAAAAGGCAAAAAAACACTGAGGGTTGGCGGACCGGAGGGCAAGGTAGGGCAGGAATTGTGCAAGGCACTCACTGGGCCAGTGAATGGAGCAACTCATGAAATCTTAAGGGAATTTGGGCCCTGGAGGCAAAGAGGCTGATAGCTCGATTCTGAGTGCCGTGCTCGGCAGTTCCAGCTATCAGGGCCCCTGGCAGAGGTTCAAAGCAGGTGAGCTTTTCTGATGTTTTCCCTTTTCCTCCCCTATTGCTCTCTGACTAATCTCCCTGGGACACCTCATGCCCTTCACACCCTCTGGATTCTGCAGGACTCCCTGCCATACTTGTTGGGTATGAGCTCCACTCAAGTCATGCCTCTTCTTTTCTGTTCCCACCCTTGGTTCTCATGAATCTGATAAAGATTTTGAGTGATTTCTGAGTAAGTCAAACCAAATGAGTCTTTAAAAGGATGAATGTGGAGAAATCATTTTGAGCTACATTAGATCTTTTTCATCTCTTCTTGGAAATCTGATCAAACTAGGCCATCTGTTGTTTGCCCATGATTCATTACATCATCTTTTTTACCAAAAACAAGTAATCACATTTTTAGATGCACTAAAACTATACCTCAAAGCACAAAGAAAGTCAAAGATTTTTTTTTTTAAGAGGCTCAAAAGAGGAAATATTTTCTGGCTGCTTTTTCCTCATGTAGTCTTTTGCAAGTTCTTGGTACAATAGTCTCTTTAGTAAAGAATAGTGATAGCTGCTGAACAGACTCATTCATCCATCCATCCATCCATCCATCCATCCATCCATCCATCCATCCATCCATCCAATAACTTAACACATATTTGCAGCTCTATCATGTGCTCATGTCCTCAGTAGCAAGGCTGCAGAAGCAAATCAAATAGACATTGCCCCTGCCTTCCCAAAGCCTACTTCTAAAAGGGAAAGCAGACCTACTGCTTTCTAAAGAGAACACCAGGTTTTCCAGCACCTACATGCTGTGTCAGACTTCTGAAACTAGGCTCCTTATCTTCTTCCCCTCCAAGTGAAGTTTCCATTGCTTACAAGCTAACTTGGCTTTCCAAAAAAGAACCTTGCAGCGTATCTGAGGTTCTTTCCCTTTGCACCTTCTTGGTGCTCCTTGTCTTCTAGCCTTCTCAGTAAGTGATTCTTCACTCACTTACTGATATTACCCTCTGATCTGGATTTGCACTATTGATGTTCAATATCTTCAACATCAATAGCTCTTGTTATTTTGTTTTATTATTTATGTTTTAGAGAGAGAGGAAAGAGAGGTAGAGAGATAGAAACATCAATGATGAGAGAGTCATTGATCGGCTGCCTCTTGCACGCCCCCTCCTGGAGATCAAGCCCGCAACCCGGGCATGTGCCTTGACTGGGAATCCAACCAGTGACCTCTTGGTGCATGGGTTGATGCTCAACCACTGAGCCACACCAGCTGGGCAGCAAAAGCTCTTGTTTTGAAGCAATCAAATTGCTCCAAATCCCAGTTAAGAAAAAAAGAAAAATACTTGAATTCAAGAATGAAATTGGGGTTTTTACTGGGTTACTGACTTTGTAGAACAAATAAAGGGAAATTGGGGCGGGGGGGGGAGAAGAGCATAGACTATACTAAAAATGGAATTCTCTCAAACGTGTGAGCTTTTGTGCTATGTTAAATTCCAGAAACAAGCCAGTCCTGTGAGAATTCAGTGAGCTCTCTAATTGTGTGATAGTATACCTGCATTAAAAGCCAACACTGACAACAATGCCTCAAGGTAGGTGAAGTTAAATGATAAAATCCCACCAATTTGGAAGCAGAAGAATTTGTAGAGAATTGTTTCAAGCGGAATGACATTTGCTTTGGGAAGTAAGAAAATGAAAGAGAATGGGGGACCCCTGCTCTGCCTTGCTTCAGCCATGAAATGCTGGCTTCAGACTCATTCCCTACCTGCTCGCCCCACCCCCACGTCCTCCCCGGCCTTCAGTAGGAAGAGGCCACCTTGACAGTGAGAGTGGATCCTCCAGCGTGTTGGGTCTGGAGAGAACATGCCTAAACCTTGGCCTTGGACAGACTTTAGTCTCTTCTTCTTTTCTCCTTGTGGTTTCCAGCAGGCCAATAATTCATCTAATTAATGAATCAGGATTCATTAGTTTTAAGTGCGATATGGGATTTGGGTTATAATTTTTATTTGTTTTTAGAGATGCATATTGAAGTATTACAGATGACATGATGTCTGGGATTTGCTTTGAAATAATCTAAGGGGTTGGAAAAGGGGGCCATGAGATGATAATTGTTGAAACTGTATTGAGTACATGGAGGTTCACCATGTTCTCTTATATATATGTTTGCAATTTTTCAAAACAAAAGAAAAATATTTTAGAAGTTTATAAAGGTGCCATCTTTATAAAACTCCTTCTGGTAATTTTAATGCCATTTTAGTGTCAATAGTAAGATCTAATAATTATGGAGTACAGGGCTAATTTCCTTCCGTGCATTATCTTAGTTAATTCTCACAACAAGCCCCAGAGGTTGGTATTATTATCACGACCTTACAGATAAAGAAACTGAGACATAGTGAGGCTAAAAGAACCTGACCAGGTCCTATAGTGCATGTATGTAGTGACAAAGCCAGGGGTGAAATCAGGTCTGGCTGATCTTGGGATCTGAGGGTCAATCATAGAATCACTATGCGTGGCTCAGCAGTTGAGTGTCAACCTATGAGCCAGGAAGTCACGGTTTGATATCCCGTCAGGGCACAATGCCTGGGGTTTCGGGCTCCATCCCCAGCAGGGGGCATGCAGAAGGCCCCTGATCAATGACTCTCATCATTCATGTTTCTATCTCTCTCTCTCTTCCTTCCTCTTTCTGAAATCGCTAAAAACGTATTAAAAAAAATCACTATGTGCTGTTCTTCATCTGTAATAGTCATTCCATAAAGGGACGGAATGGTGTCAAAGAAGATTAGGCCATTTATTCCTTTAGCTGATGTTTCCTTAGCATGTGTTGTATGCCAGGCACCGTGCCAGGCATGTAGTAATGAGCGAGATGGCAGAGCCAGTCCTCATGGAGCCAGCATCATCTTCTTCAGCTAGGTCTTGGTAGTGAGAGGCCACATGTTCCTCCTTCGCTTTCAGGAAAGTGTTGAAAAGCTGGTCTTCTGGACTACTTCATCGAGGGGTTACTCAGGGGTCAGTGGACTCGGTTTCTGCTTCAGGCCCTTTCCCTTATTCTGTGACCTGGTTAGCAGCAGAATAGCTTTTTGGTGAATGCCTGGGGAGGGGGCGAGAATGGGGAGGCAAGGGTCAATGGGGAGGAAGAGGGGGATATGTAATACTTTCAACAATAAAGATGAATTTAAAAAATAAAGTTCTATAATGAATTATAACTTGAACACCATCCCTCGTCCCCTCAGACCAATAGAAAACTGCGTGCCTTATAGTACCAGTAACTGGGAAACTATTTGCTTTCTTACCTGGTAGATCCTCAATAACTCTTCAGAGTAATATGACCTTTCAGCAGCTCTGCATTCTGGAAATAATTGTCATGTGTTTCAAAATAGTTTGTGAACTTGAATTCCGCAAGAAGGAGCTCCATTGTCAAATACAGGCAATAAGCACAGTGATTAGTCTGGTCAAGTTTAATTTTGATTGAGTTTTGGGCTATGAACACTAATATATTATTTAAAATCTCCATTCATAGGACTTAAGACTCCATGAAGATAACTTTTTCTGTTCTTCATTCGTATTGTTATGGATAAAAGATGCTCTTAATATCGTTTTGATTGTTCTTGATGATGAGCTTTCACTGATCTTGAAAACCCTACTGAATGATTAATTAATCATTGTGCCCATGCACTAGCATAGGCCTGTACATTGTTTCGACTGTAGATTTTCATGGCGTAACCTGATTCCAACCAGTTGCCACCCCTCCACCATCATCTCTTGCCTGATTTGTGGCTACAGACTCCTTTCCGTTCTCCCTGCCTCTGTTCACTGCTTCACTTGGGATGGTGCTGGGCACATAATAAGCGATTAGTGCTTATCTGGTGAATTGGTGAAAAGGAGTGTGATATTAGCAGTGGGTAGGAATTTACAAGATTTAAGCTAAAGGAACAGGAAGATGCTTCTCTGCTTTCTTATAGTCTGGGATGGTTGTCCTGATGGGATTTCCTGATTCATGAGGTCACTAGGGTTCAGTCCGACACACGGGCAACACTGGCCTTTGCAACACTGTGTGGTGCCACTGAGAACTCTTCAGCTGGGTCAGTTGATCTGTGTGACCTGAGAATTTGCTGCTTCCCTGAGAAATCATCTGGGTGCTTTTCTAGGTGGGGAATGGGGACATGGGGGTGGCATTTCTTTGGCAGTTTTCTAATTCTCCTATGATCATTTATCTGTTTGGATTTCCTCTCTTTTCTAGGTTCAATTTCTACAGATTATATTGTCTTTAGGGGAGTGTGCATCTCACATATGCTTTTATTTGCAGAGTTGAGATTACCCCCTACAGGCTATTCAGTTTCCCCGCTTCCGTGGCTTCCCTTTTATAATGCCCTATCTTGAGTAATACTATTGTCTCCCTTGTTTTCTTATTTTTTTAGTTAAGTTAGATAGTTATATATCTTTTCTTTTTTTTTTTTAAGGAATCAGATTTTATAATTATATACTCTACTTAAAAAATTTATCTCATTCATACCTTCTTTTACCTTTTAAAATTCCTTCTGTCTTTTAATTTGTTGTTTGTTTTTGTAAGAACTCCTGAGATGTTTATTCTCTGTTTTATTCTTTATCTTATATTAACACAATTATTTACACTCGGAATGTACTCTGAAATGTATCTCATAGGCTCTCCCTTTGGCGCTGAAGTGAGATATTTTCCTTATTTTTTTAACAATTTGCAATTTACTTTTTCTAATCCAAGTGTTTTAAAAGCAAGAATTATAAACAAAATTTCCAAGTGGAAAAGACTTTTAATTCTCATTGTTGCTTTTTCATGATTTCCAGAGAAGAAAAATATGTTGACTTACACAACCATGCACCATGTGGAAATCCCCTCCTACGGCTTTGTTTTCTGGGAGTGGTGCTCTAGATTCCCTCTCCTTTCAGCTTCTAGTGTGACAATCCCGTCACACCTCTCATTTTGAAAAAGTGGCTTTGCACTGACCAGCTGTGACATGATGGAAGTTATTCTTCCTCTCCAAGCCTTAGTTTCTTCCCTTATAAAAAACAGGCAATATGGAGTTTTAGCAATGAGGTAGCACAAGTGAAGCTCTCAGCATAACCCCTGGCACTCAGTAAATGTGTTGTTTACTCCTCAGCTCCATGGTTACAGAGCTTTGAGAATCTCAAAGTATCTCCAAAACTAAGCATTAATCTTCAGTGGGGAACTCAGTGCAACCCAGGAATCCTTCTTCCATCTCCTGTTGGCATGGATAATCATCAGATATCTCTGGCTTTATCTTCCTCTGTCTGCTTACTTCCTCCCCCTCCCCTTTAGTTTTAGGTGGGTTTTCTAATTATATTTTTGATTTGAGAGAGAGGGAGGGGGGAGGGAGAGATAACAACATCAGTGATGAGAGTGTCATTGATCGGCTGCCTCCTGCACCCCCCCTACTGGGGATGGAACCTGCAACCCAAGCATATGCCCTGACCAGGAATCTTACCATGATCTCCTGGTTCATAGGTTGATGCTCAACCACTGAGCAATGCCTCCTGGGCTCCCCTTTAGTTTTTAATGATCTCTAAAATATTTCTAATTTTTATAGTCTCTTACCACAGCTTAAGCATCCTGGAATACATTCTCTAAGATCTCTTTATTACCAAAGAAGCAAATAACCACCAGCAGGCAGCTGAGATTTACTGGAAGAAAGTGATGAGACAGAATCCCCATTCTGCTACTCATTGGGCAAGTCACTTAACTTGATGACTCATGGTTTCCTCATCTTAAGTGGAATAGCAATTCCTCTTCGCAGGGTGTTGTAAAGATGAGATGGGATATTTTTTAAAACAGTTCAATAATTATACATTTATTCTTTTGTTCATTCATTCCTAATTGGTAGCTCTCATAGAAAGTGTCCAGGAGTCCAAGGTCCAGAATGTAGAAGCACAGGAGAAAATGTAGAGCAAGTATAGCACCCCTAATCACCCTACAAACAAAGCTGGAGTTTACCACCCAACTCATCCATTAAAAACCAGTATATTAAGTGTGACACAGCCAATATTCTTAGGCAGTTTAACTTGGCATGGAATGATGGTGCATGCAATAACTCCAATCTTTGGTACCCAGCAATAATTTAGGGAAAAGATTTAAGAAGCAGGACTGTCAGGAAGAGGATCCCTTTATTTAGTTAACTTAAGTGAAAACTTCCTCTTAGAGCCAAAAGGTAGAGAAATTTTAATCCAGCTCCCGTGAGGCTAAGTGACTTACCCACAGTCACCATCTTTTGACCAATTTAGTAGGTATACTGCTTGAGGGAAATGGAGAGCCTCAAAAGTTAAAATATATTCCAGTATACAGCTGTAATAATTAAAACACTGTGATACAGATTCAAGAAAAGAGAGAACAATTAAACAGTCCCAGGAGTACTGAGAATTTGGCATATGACGTGACATTTGAAATCAGCACAGAAGAGTGGATGATTTAATACTATTGGGACAACTAATTTATGAATTGTGTCCACCAAGAAGATATGTTGAAGTCCTAATCCCTGGTACCTATGAATGTGATCCTATTTGGAAATTGTGTCTTTGCAGATCTAATCAAATTAAGTAAGGTCATACTGGATTAGTGTGGCCCTAATCTGATGTCTAGTGTCTTTAGAGAAAGATTTGGACACAGACACACAGGGAAGAATGCCATGTCATAGGAGAGATTGGAATGATGCATCTTTAATTTGCACTTTTAAGTGAGGAGAAATGGTTTTCCATAATTTGTTCATTTACTCATGTAAGTTATACTTAAAAATTTTTTAGTCAATTAATAATTGAGTCTTAAAATTCCTATCCTTCGTATTCCCAAGAACTCCTTATATAATATAGATAGATATTAACTAATTCTTGGTTTGCCTCTCATTAGGAATTCTCTTCACACCCAGTGCTTCTGAGGGCTCCCTCGCCCACTCCCATGGCTTCGGCCACCATTTTTATGGTAGAGGTTCCTCAATCCACATGCTCTAGAAGTCAGTCTTTTTTCCCCCCCAAACAGCTTGGAACAGTGGTCTGCACACTGGGTGATAAATACTGAAATATAGGCATAAAAGGGCCATTTTTTAAGGATTAGATTATTTTTAAACTATTTTAAAGATCAGATAGGAATAATTTAAAAATGAATCTATAGCAATAATGCATGGAAACAAATAAATAGACAAAAAATATTCTAGTTAACTGCCAAAGTGCTTGAATAAATGAATACAAAATGAACTTTAAAAATTCTTTATTTAAAAATCTCTAAATGTGACATTCCACAAAAATTATACCTATGTTTCTTTTTATATACTCTATTAATTCAATTTGTTTGAATTCAATTTTAAATGCAATTTTGAGAAGCTTCCAGGATTTATTCTGAAAGTAAACATTTAAAAGTATTTTTTTTACATAAACTTGGAAAGAAAACCAGAGACGCATAGAAAAGAAATCCATTATACCTCTTAATGTGTTAAAGAGGACCTGCAAGAATCACTTACTGACATAGAAAGCAGGCTTATTAGAGAGTATTAACTGTTACTCATAACCTATCGATATGGAAAAGTTCATAATGGTGTGTTTTCAGTCTTTGCAGCTTTGAGACCTAATGTGACAGTACCAAACAGACTTACACTTTTATCTAAACCAAGGTACTCCATTTGGTTAATATAAAGATACGATTTCTGAAATCATGATCTTTTCATGAAATCAAAGCAGAAAAACTGTTCAGGACAAGCAGATCCTTCCAAGCTGGTGCATCTTGGTTGATCTTATGAAAACTCACTGGAAGCTTCTGTGACTCTGTAGCCAATCAAGGACTCTTTACCACCTTCATCCACAAGCAGGTCCACTAGCACGTGGGGCTTATCGTAACCAAAGGAGGTGGTAGTGTTTCTCAGCATTATGGGCTCTGGTTCTCCTGTCTTTATTTCAGTTTTGCTGCTTGGAGGAAATTCTGAGTCAGATAAACTGTCTGATTCCACAAGGCCACTATCAGAACCATTTCCCAAGTGATAAGAGTTTAAAGCGACGCTGCAGGGTTCAGACTGGTTACTACCTGAATGGACAAAATCCCCTCTCTTTACTGGGGTCAGAGGGCTACCAGGGGCAATGTCAGGAATATTTTCTTCAGTGTCTCCCACTTCTGTTTCACTACAAAGATCTTCTCTAGGTTCTACTTTTCCTGGATGGTCCTCAGTCTGCATACTTGAAACTGTTGCTGGAGATGGCTGCTCTTCCCAGATCACCTTCTCATTCTCAAGGACAATTGGTTCATAGGTGATGGGTGATACATATTTTGATTCAGATTTTACCTCTGAAGAGGCACTTTTTACCACAGACACCTAAGGGAAGAGAAATCAATGAATAAAAATAATAATTATTAAACTTAAGTACCTATCCTCAAAAAAATGGTCTAAGGCTAACGGACAACTAAATGGCATATTTGGAACAGTATAATAAAATCTAGTGGCTGCCTTTTCTTTATTTTTAATGAAAATGTACTATGTTAAGATTAGAAACAATTTTTTAAAAGTTACTATCTCACCAATATATGCTATTTTTTTGGTGTATTACCTTTCACACATATGAATGTTAAATTTGTAATGGAAGTCCAACTACTTTATATAATATTTTTACCATTTTCCTTCATGATTATAATTTCTAATAACTCATATAAGTTCTTTACACCAATGATTAAATAATTTCTCTAACAGTAGATGTTAAAGTGTTAACAGTTTTTACTATTTACAGAACATGTTGAAATACTCTTACATGTCTTTTTATTTTAGAATAAAGTCTTAAGCATGGAAGGACTAAGTTTGAGGGTGGGGCATGTTTATGGAACTACAACACTGTATACCCATTGTATGCTTATTTTCCCACTCAGGCTATATAACCAGTTTTACCACTGCTACTCCTGGATATTCAGGTTTATTTTTCCTTCTCTGGTGGGTGTAAAATGGCATAAGATTGCTTTGTGCTTAATTACCAGCAAGGATGAGTACTATAATATGTAAATTGTCTACTACCTGTTCATAGTTCTTACCCACTTTACTTAAATGTAATGTATTTATACCAAACTTAAATGTGCCCTTTGCATATCACAGATATTATTATCATATGTGACTTAAAAAGCTATAATTGTTACCCTTAAAATGTACTTTTCATTGTACAAAGGATTTTAAATGTTAGATATTAAAATGTCAAACTTTTGGTTTAGTCTCACTTTTGGCCATCTTTCCTTCTACACTCTAACCACAGTGAAGTGTTTCCGTATTTGCAGGTTTTCAAAAGCCATGCTTTCTCGATGCTGGACCTTAGCACATACTGTCCCTTAATACCTGGATAAACTCCCATCTGTCCCTCAGGACTGCTGAGGCCTCACTGCCTCTGGACAAAGTCCTCACTGGCAAGTATATAAACCTCTACTTTTGAACTTATCACACTGTACACCCACTGAATACTTATCTTTCTCTCCCACTAGACTTTAAGCTTCTTAATAGACTTGTCTAACTATACTTTTGCCACATGCATAAGAAAGCACCTGGTACAGAGTGAAAAATACAAGGTTTGGGATGTGCGGTAATTTGAGTTATTTACGGTAGGTGACATGCTGCTGAACATCATTCTACTCTTTAAAAAGTTTAAGAAACTATCAAAAAGGTTCAGATAAACATTTTAGTGTATATAATTAAAGAAGTATATTTAAATATGTTACCAAGGACTTGGGTAACATGATGCTTTCTCTCTTAAATGGATTTATCTTCTTAATGACATAACATACGAGCACCAGAATGACTACAAAGAGGAGGAGAGCAGCAATAATCGGAATCCAAACAGGATCTGAAAGAGAAGAGCCACAAATGAGAATTACGGTGGAATGCTGCTATAAACAAATAGTTATAAAGCCTGTGAACTATTCTCTATATAGGTTACATCAGGTAATACAGTCAAGGGCATTAAGGAACACTGACAGCAAAGTCAGGAGAGATGAGAAAAGTTACGTTCCTGCCCTAGACAGCAGCGTACTCTTCCCAGCTCCACGGTTCTAAACTTTCTGCGACTACCCTGTCATGACACAACGTGGCTAAAATAGCTTTTTCCTAAATATTTCCTTATAGCCCCAAATATAGGTTTTCAGAATTGTGCTTCTCTCTCAGTTAAAGAGGCAAAAAAAGAATTTAAAAAATATATTTCAGTGTCTGTAACTCTTAAAAGAATCCAGTCCCACTCCATAGAATTTTGTTAACATTTTATATTTATTTCAAGACTGCAAATACTTATAAAGACACACAGATGCACGCACACACACAGGAAAGTTGTACAGGAATAAAGTCCCCTTGACTATTGTTTCACAGCATATATATCTATAATCACTGGCATGTGTTTTTCTCTAATGCTGCTTTTTATTTTCACAGTACAATCTTCAGTACTTTTTTTACAGTCCTCTGTTACTAATTAACAATACATAGCATGGTGGTGCTTGGCCTCTTTCAGGGCATTTCATTACCTTTACATTTTTATTCCAAAGTTACTTCTTTGCAATAGTAATTCTGGAAAATTACTACTAAATGAATGCTTGTATCAAAAATGAATGCCTGTTACAGGATGTGAAAACAAATTATTACAATAGTAAAAGATAAAATTAACTACATAACTAAACCAGCACTGGGCTTAGAAGCACTGAATAGGCAAGGCAGGGATGCTGCTATGAGTCACAGTGGCGCCACCGTGTGGCCACAATATCGGCCCAGTTTATAATTCAGGCATTTCTGTGTGTGTGTGTTTTAAGTAAATCTGGGTCATTTGCATTTCTTTCTCCTTTTTTGAGCCTTTACTCCTTTTATTTTTTATTTTCCCCATTGGTCAGGAAATTACTGGTCATTATTCAAAATTTGAAAATCACCATTTTTGTGTGTTAAGATTTAATTTTTCAAAATAGCACCAGGCAAATTGGCATAAAATGTACTTACTGCATTATTATAAGTCACCTATTTGAAACCCTCATGTATAAAATGGCCTAAAAGTTATTAATACTACGTTTTAGGTGTTTGGTCTCATTCTTCAGCTTAGATTTCCATTCTTAAAAAGATATCTGTATCATAAAATTTTTGTACATTTTAAACCTAGAAAATATATTCTAAAAACATCCTAACAACTGGAAAAATATACATACACAAGAACAGTCATCAAAGCATGATTTATTATAGAGAAAATCCATAAATAATCGGAAAGTCCAAAAATTGAGGAACATTAAATAGAATACAATCTAATGATGAAATATTCTAAATACATTAAAAAATAATATTAATAAACTGTGTGAAATAATACAGAAAAATATTTATAATATATGCTTAAATTAGCATACCAAAATATATATACTATATATTATTATCATGGTTATGAAGAAAAACAGGATGAAAAAAAACCACCAAACTTTAATAACTAAGTATTTGTTTGGATAGTTGAACTACAGATAATTTTGTTTTCTTCTGGCTTTATTTTATAAATTACCTATAATGAACATTAAAATTTTTAAACATCAAAGGCCCAAATTTTGTTATGGTACCTACAGGAAAAGATGATGAAATAAAAATTATTTTTGATGAGACAACAAAATGGTGGAGTAGGTAACTGCGTACCCACCGCCTCCTGCAACCACATCAGAATTACAACTAAAATACAGAACCATCATCACTCAGTACCCCCTGAGATCTGGCTGAACAGAAGCCCTACAACCAGGGAACTGAAGCAGCACCAAGACCGGTAGGAGGGGCAGAGACGTGGGCAGATCGGGGCTGAATCATGGAGACGCAGCTGCAGGCCCACACCCGGTGCTGCGGGGTAAACCCAGGAGGGAATCTCGGCAGCGGAGGTTTCCCAGAGGAGTGAGGGGTCCAAGCCTCACATCGGGCCCCCGCCCAGGGCTCCAGGCTGGGAAGAGAAGCCCCCACAACTTCAGGCTGTGAAACGAACAGGGACTGTGGCTGAGGTTCTCAGAGGCTGCGGGAGCCCCAGGCTTTCCTCTTGAAGGCCCGAGCATGGACTCACTCAGACGTGCTCCCTTGGAGCCCAGAACCGGGCAGCAGCTTGAAAGGACCTGGGACACTTGGGGAGGAACTAACCTGCCTGAGACCCAGGCGAGAGGTGGAGGGGCAGCTTCCTCCCAGGCAGAAGAGCTAGCAGAGGCTATTGCTTCTTTGGCGAGTCCTCCCCCCACACAGCCGGCAGGCAGGCGCCATATTTGAATCGCCAGCACCTGACTCACCTTTGGCTCCGCCCTGGTGATCCTGGAGACCCTGCCCCTCCCCACCTGCAGGCTCATCCAAGCCATTTCCTGTGGCTTTTCTGTGCAAGTGGCCTCTCGAGCCTCATGCTTAGGACTTTCCTAAAATCTCTCAAACAAGCAGCAGCGTGCCCCATATGGCTTGATAAGCGGGCCCAGGCATGGCACTAGTGGCAACTGTACTGGTTCATAGCTTGGCCTCTCCTGGACACCTCCAAGCCCAGCACAAGTAGCAGCCAATTACGGTTTGCTGTGAAGCTCATGCTGGGTGGCCCTGGGCAAGGCACTGGCACAGGCTGACTTTGTGCCTCCTGGGAGGCCCCAGAGACAGTGTACCTGATGGTCAGACTCAACCACGATGGATTACAACCCTACTGCATCCACAAGTGACACACTCAAGGGGAATACTTGGTGAACACCAAAGCTCCACTGAAGTAAACCCTGCTCCATAGGGGTGTCTCCAGCACAGCAGCTCTTTGGCTGTAGTTGCAGATGGTCCTCACAGCTGATTGGCTGGGGGTCAATTCCTCCCAGTGATGCCAACAGCAACCAGGGCTCAACAAAAACAGGACAGTGCACACAGCTCACACAGGGGAGCAACTAGAAGGCCCAGCTCAGGTGACTGGGGAGGCTGAGCCACTGGACCCTACAGGACACCTACTACACAAGGCCACCCTACAAATTCCAGGAGACATAGCAGCTCTACCTAATACATAGAAACAAACACCTGGAAGTAGCCAAAATGTGGAAGCAAAGAAATATGTCA